CTATTCACAAAAGAATTATTTTAATAAAATTTAATGTTATTTAAGCACGGTCCCTTCTTTTGTTCTTTTTCTTTTTTAGTAAGGACCATTCGTCCTTCTATTAAAATTAAAAAAAAGAAAATTGCCGAAAAAACTATACTTAAAAATTTTTTATACGTTTGCAATTTAAAAACTTTTGCAATCTTACTAGAGCATTTATTTTTCCGTGATCTTTTTGTTTCAAAAACAAATTTTATATTTTAATGCCATTTTTTTTTTGTTGATAATTTCACTTAATTTAGGAAGTAAATGTGGAAAACGTTATATGATTACAAAGAACAAAAATGTAGAAAAAGTTAAAAATTAAAAGTTTTTCTTTTCTTTTATTTTATATAGGAAAAGTCATGTAGCAAATTTATTTCTTCAATTCTTCTTATATAATTTTCAACATTTTGAAAAAAGTATTTAGCTGTTATTATTGCAATTTGGAGTGTATGTGTGTTTGCATTGTTGTAGTAGTAGTGTAAATTTAGTCTACAGTTTTATAAATTATTACACTTGTAAATGTTTTGGAGAACAGGATCATAAATATGTTCTTTTAATTAACTTTCCAAATCAAAAGCAAAATTAATGGAATCTAATAAAGTAATATTCATGGTCTTTATACATAAAGAAACTAAAAGAGTATTTTGTTTCCGAGCATTAAAAATGCAATTTTTGCACACTTGTGTAAGCTTTATATAAAAAAACGTTTATTAAAAAGTTGCATTACATAATATTTGCTTACATATATACAAAGTGTAAAATTTTTTATTTACAGTTAATTTAAGTGTTATCCTTGAAAAACAATGAAGTTGAAATTGTTTATGAAATGGAATACAAAAATGAATTTAATTTAAACTTCTTCCTAATAAATCTTGTTAATGATTATGCGCTCATATTCAATGTTTGTGTCAGTTTCAAGTTATTTTCTTAAACATCCTTTTTTTTTGCATATTCTAAATTACAATAACAAACTTAAACTGTCCACAAACAAAATTATTTTACCTTAATAAAAGTCAGTTTAATGACCTCAACAATATTTCCCTATAAACATAATTTTCACTCAACATATTGTCCATAGTTGAATTTTGAAATGAACAAGAAAAAAAAGGGGAGAAAAGTTAGACCAAAATAAACCTAATTTTTCACCCATTCCGGATAGAACTACAAAATTTTACTGCTTTGGTGCAAAGCAATTTTTGTGTATTTTTTTTTTATTTCATTACAAAAATTTCAACTCTTCATTACTTTTATAGCATGTAAATTTCAATAATCTCTCACAGACATACATAGATTACATTCTAACTCTGTAATTTGTTATACTTGTGTATATACACACAGTGGATAAATAGATGGCCAGTAAAATGTAATAACAAGGAAAAACTATTATCCTTGCCTAAAAATAAAAAAGTAAAACAAATTAACTAAAATTACAAAGGTAAAAATGGGAATTTAGAAAAAAAAAATGTGCTGGAGAATTTTCAGAACTTTTGTATAGAAATTTATTGCCGAAAAAAAAAAGAAAGAGAAAAAATTAAATTACCCTAATAAAAACTCCTTTTCTATATTTTTTTTCATTTGAGCGTTTTACCCATTTTATATAATTTTATGTAATGTACTGTAATGAAATTGTAAATTATTTTTAGCGCACATTCGTGTGCAATAAACGCTGCATGTTTAAAAAATTTTTTAGATTATATAAGAAAAAATTAAATTTTATTTTAATTTTTAATTATTTTTAAATTACTAATAAGATTTTTGTAAATTAAAATTAATGTAAAAATTAAAATAGATTTTTATCAAGAACTTAAATAAAATGAATGAAACTTTATTGAAGAGAAGTCATTTCCAATAAATTGAAAGTGTTCCGGACTATATTTTCAGAAATTAAAATATTTTATAATTGAAATATTGGAAATTAGTCTAAAAACCAATTGAATTCATAAGGGTCATTAATAAAATTGATGATTTTAAAATTGCATAAATTTTTTTTCATTTTAATTTGGTAATTTCATGTGTTTACGAATAATTTGTAGTGGAAGAAATGGTTTAACAAGAATATCTTCTGAAAACGTGAATATTTTCCAAATTTTTCTTTACTATTAATCAGAAAAATTGCTTAAAAATTAAAAAACCTTTTATTAAAAAACTAAATGGAACGACCACGAATTAAAATTTTAAAAGTTCTTGCGCTTAATTGTAAGATATTTTTAATTATTTTTGATGTTGGATGAGGAATATTGCTAACAGGCTTTTGATGTTGAGCAATTAATGATCGAATAAATGAAATAAACTTGTAGGGAATTTACAATTTTTACGAGTAATAAATCTTCTGGCTTCTACGATTATTTTAGCACATTTTTGAACGTTAAATAAAATTTCAATTTACTCTTGTTGCAATTCTTGAGGAATAAAATATTTTAAGACATACTTTCTGTTATAATTACATAAATGTATTTATTACCAAAATACTTAACATCTGATATTCATAAATTTTCTTCAAAGTTTCTAAATTTTCTAAAAATAGATAAAGTTTTTTCTTTTTTATCAAAAAATTGCATATAATAATAGAAAACTTTTTATAGTTTCCTAAAGCATTTAAATTTAGTGCACTAGATCTTCAAAAATTTTAAATGATATTTTAAGAGTTCCAGAATAGAAAATATCCTTTTACTGATAGCACATGCATTCTTTATAAATATTAAAGAATTAAAACTTAAGAAAGCAAGAACAAGACAAAACAAAAATATTTCTTTATGTTTTCTTTTGCCTTTTACTGTCACGGTAATAATTTTACTGTGATAAATTTAGCTCTTTTCCTCTCTACTGCAAAAATTTTCTAAAGTCTGTATAAAATATTATTGTTTTAAATATCAGTAATACTCAATATATAATATAAATTTGTATGTATGCATGTAATATAGGTGGAAATTCTGTTGAGACTTGTAAGGACGATAATATAAAAAAAAAGGATAATATTTTGGCATGTCAATGTTGTTGTTTAATTTTTTTTTGGTGTTGTAAAATTGTATGCAACAAAAGTTGTGTTTTTTTTACGTTCATTGCATTGTAAAGGACATAAAATGTAGAAAAAAGAATGCAAAGTAGCATTACCAACACCATATAATGCAAGTGTTGTATTACGAATATTACCGTTTTTATTTTGTTCTTTTAAAATTACGTTTCTTGTTAAGGATCGTCGTCTCTTTATTGTCCTTGTTATTTTTATACTTATATTTACATATTTGTATTCTCAATGGAGAATTCGTTTATTTTTTTTTAGGAAAATTACGATGAGTACGAAGCTCTTAGTTTGACTATTTTTATGGTAATAAATCAATCTTTTTCTAGAGGTTATTGTATTGGGTTGGTTGTTTTTATATTGAAGTATTATTTATTTTTGTTATGTTATCATTATGCAGAAGGGCATTAGATATAAACTATGCACAAAATTGCATTGAATATAAAATTTTGTTTAGCACTTTTGTTTCTTTTTCTTTGTTGTTTTAGTATTAAATATTTTGTTTGTGTATACTAGAATATTGTAATTTAAAGTTTTGCTTCATTTAATTTAGGGGAAAAAATGCACCTGAACTATTTTGTTTTCTTTTTTATGAGATCTTGATAAAAATGCGGTAAAATAGAATTAGTGGTATAGTTTTTTTTTGGGTATTTTTATGGGAATTTTATTCTTGGGTTAACCAAAAATTGTGTTTGACATTTAAATGTATTTTTGGCAAAAAATTCTTAAAAAAAAGTCAAAAAGTTTTATATAAAAGTAATAAAAATTTTTTTAGGTTTATTTTTTAATTTTAATCGGAAATGACTATAATTGATCGATTATTTATGGGTTATACGCTGTTTGACAGTTATAATATGATAAATTATTTTTATAGATTGGTAACACTACATAATATTCTGGGACTTATTATATAAATTAAGGTTGAAAGGGAATTTTATTAATAAAGACATTGATAATAGCATTCGATTTACTTTTCACTTTTTCAATCAAAATCGTAATTTAAAGAAAAACTATACGGGATTATTTCCTTTTTTATATTGTAAATCGAAACTGGTAGGCATTTACAAAAGCGTGTGCTACAATATTTTTAAATTGCATTAGTCTTTCTCTTAAGCCTTAAATTTTTTATTAGTATGAGGCTTTAATGAAATGAGATCTCGTTCATGTACTTTATACTCGTACGATTTAGAAAATGAACAATATAAGAGAGAGAGACTTTTGCTACATTTAGGAAAATATTGTTAATTTTTTTCTCTTGATAAAAGCTATTAGATTTTGAAACCTGAGACTTATCGGTAACAGTTCATAAAATTTATGCAAATTTTTGATACGAAGAAAAAATAGCATGTATATAGATTTTCTAATTTTCATACCTCCTTTTCAGTAAAATTTCCTGAAAGAGGTCACGTTTTGCAATTTCAAGTAAAAAATGTAAAAATAAATATTTCCAGTTATTTCCGCAAATACTTGTATGTATTTTGAAAAACTGTCAATTTTGCATAAATTTAGGATAAACATTTTTAAATCTAGTGTGGTTTTCGCATACAATACTCTAAAAATTGTATGCAAATATCGATTCGAAAAAAAGAAATTGATATTTTCGAAAAAAAATTATATCTTCGAAAATAATAAACAAAAAAATAAAATGAAGTTTTTGTAATTGATATTTTTAGAAGAGATTTTTTGATTTCTTTTTTTCCATTTCCAATTTTATGAAAATATTTATGAATAAACAGGTGAATTGTATGTATTTTGAACAATTTATCTTCTCCTGATAATTTTTTGTTATCTTATCTTGTATATTTGAGTTAAATACGATAAAGAAATGAAATTTAAATGGAGAGTAAAGTGTATAATTTTGTTTTTTTATCTTACTAGATTAATGCTTATCAGTTTATTTTTTTGGGTGGAGAGTTTCATTAAGTAGAATAACGTTAAATCAGTTATAGAAAACTGAGCTGAGTAATATTTCCTTGCTTTATCGAATTTTAGTATTCGATTAACTTTGAAAGTTAAAAAATTCAATTCGAAACGGTATTTTAAATCAAAAAAATTAATTACACTTCGAAACTAATTTGAAACGAATTTTTAAATTATACAACAAGAAAAAAAAATTAAAAAATGGTTGATGTTGAAACAATTGCATCAATATTTGTTAAATTATTTAAATTACTATTAAATATAATTGTATTAGTACTTTATCGTACTGGTGATGGTGGTTATTTTTTGGGTGTTGCTGGCACATGGAATCTAAATGAAGAGAAAGGTGCTGATGCTGAAATTGTTGCATCTGGTGTATTTGTCGGTTATTTAATATATACAAGTGTACAATTGATAGCATTTATGTTTGGTACAACAAAACATAAACGTGAATTATCTGATACAATTATGAATTTTGTTGGAACATTCTTATGGTTAGCTGTTGGTGGTGTTGCATTACATTATTGGAGTGGTTATTTAGCTGATCATGATTTCTTATATGTTGCAACTGAAAGACAAATTGGACTTGCATTAGGTTCAATATCAGTTCTATCTGCTGCTTTATATTTATTGGATACGGTATTGGCTTTTGTACATTTTGCTAAAGATGATACAATAGAATACAAAGTAGCTCCACATTAAAATAATATGGGTAGAAATTCGAGTAAATTCTTTTATGTACCTATAGTTTTGTAATATTTTTTTATAATAAAAGTATTTTTCACGTATTTTTTAATAAGAAAAAAAAAAATATAAATGTGACAATATGACTAATCCTAAATATATGCAATTTATTGTATTTGTAAGTGTAATTTTTTTAAATATTTTTAAATAAAGAAAAAAAAGAATGTTGTATGACTAATTCGATTTGTTTATGTTTAAAAATATTTACAGATAAAGATAATAACAGATAAGATATGTAATTTTATGTTAAGTAAATAATTTTGTAGTATTGAAAATGTAGAAATAAAATGTAGAAGTGAAAAAATTTTCATATATTTTTTATCAAGGGGAAACAAGCTGGGACAATGTTAAGAGTGAATGTTGATTGTAGTATTTTTAAAAATTTTAAATAATTGTGATTTAATAATGAGATTTTTAGAGTATACTCAAGTGAAATTTTTTCCTCTAAAAAATAATAATATTTGTGGTTTGAGTGAATTATTGTATTTTGTTTACAGAGAGATTGCATTCAATCAATTATAACATTTCAAATAATTAAAATTTTTATTCATTTAGGCATTTAATTTTGAAATTTATACTATATTATTAAATATTAAAGATTTGCTTCACCAAAATTCTTAGTTTACAAAATGGATAAATTTTCTATATTTATTTAAAATCTTCGAAAATATTTTCAGAACATTTTAAAATTAATTCATTTTGGACCATTGTGTTTGCAACATCGTTCATTTGAATGTGGTCTTTTTTTTAATGGTTGTAATGCTTTAAAATTAGCCTCTTAACAAAACGTGAATCAATTAAGCAATAAATAATATGCCATGTGACGTCGCAAAGAACGTAAGCACTAACATTTATTGAAATAAATCCTGATTAAGTTCTGAGTTAATAATTTTAATCATCTTCATATTATAAGTGACTACGAATTTTATGATCATTAAATTATTTAATCAATGAGTGAACAATCAATGAGTTTATAAAACAATGAAATTTTTTTTTATTTCTTTTTAGAGAGAGAGAAAAACTTTTGATATTTCAATTTTTGTATTACAGAAATTTATTGTTCAACACAAAAATTTATTTGTCCCTTTATCTTGTTTTTTTATAAATAAGAGAAAATTACTTAATCAATCCTGTATAAAATGAATGTGTGTGCTTGAAATCAGGGTAACATGTACGTATAGTTCATATTATGTGTGCTTGTAAATGTCTAAAACTTTTTTAATTCCTGATTTAGCAGAAAAATTCGTTAAATAACAATATAGAAAAAAAAATTTATAATTTCAAATTGTTTTGTATCCTCAGAATGGAGAGAGAAAATATTTTTGACATTTTAGTAAAAGAAGTTCAGTAGCGCCAAAAAAATATCACAAAAAAGGGACTAAAAATATAAATAGGAAAATAGTGACAATAGCAATAACAACAAAACCTATCAGGATTATAAAAATTAAAATGCTAACGTCAGTAGAAAAATTTCATTTAAGTTTCGGTTGTTTTTTTAAAGTTTCATTCTTTTCATTTTACTATTTTTCTATTTTTCAGTAGCATTCAATATCCTTACTTAATACAAACCTTTTCCTTTATGTATAGTGTAAAAAGACATACACGTCGGATATAAATTAAAGTTCGCTATAAAGAATTGAAACGTGAAAATTTTTAATTCGATTCACATTTAACAATTCATTTTGTATCTGTGTATATGAACGTGTCATGGATTTTGAATCATTTTCAAGGATATTGTTGATTGGTAAAATAAGGTAAAGTAAAGTTCATTCGAATTCATTCCGAAAATAAGAGATTAAAATTAATTCATGATTACTTATGGCGATTCAATTTGAAGTGAACTTTAGATTTGGATTTATAAGTCATAGGCAATTTGTCAAACAAATTGTATTGAATTTAAGAACAATGATTAAAATTACTGAGATTAATAACTTTTTTCTTGACATTTAAAGGAAATTTTTCAGAAAATTAGGTGAGATTTGCTATCGTAAATCGTTAAAATTGATGAACATTCAATGTAATAATATTTTTATAGTAATAAAATAATTTAAATATCACTTACCAATGTCGTTTGTTGTGCTGGTGATGTTTGATTTCCACTAACACCAACAACTCCAGAACATACCATATTAGGATTATTTTGTTCATTTAATATAGTTGAATCATTTTGAAGATTACCATCAATTTTTGTATTCCATTTATGTGATTGACCAATACAATTATTATCAACTGTAGATAAATTACAATTATTTCCACCAGTTGGTATATTACCTATACTGACATTTTGAACCACCATTATACCGTTTTTATTACAACTAGTTGATGTTATATGTTTACTATCTAATTGTATAACACGATTTTGTAAATTTTTAGCATTATTTATTCGATCTGTATTAACAAGACCTATTGTAGCATCAGTCAATTGTGATTCAATTATTTGTTTTTGTGTTATTGAAGGTGATCTGAAATTATAAGTAAAAAAATAAGTGATGGATATTTTTTTTTTGACTAATTAATTTAAAATAAATTAAAACTTGCTATTAATTTTTTTCAATTACTCTATTTTTTATTTTATTTTAAATTTAAAGTTCATAATATACAGAGTTTTGTATTTAGGTATATTGCATTTATAAATCAGGTAAAACTGCTTAAGTCAGAAACTAAGTTCAATTAAAATCAAGTTAAAAGATTTGAATTTTTTTTTAAAAGTCTTTAATATTCATTAATTCATATACCGTGTATGAAGGCTAATATTTTTGTTAACAATATTTACTAGATTATTAACAATATTTAGTAGATAGATCATCACTGTTTTTTAACATGTTTAAAACTTAAACATGTACTTTTAAACTTTACCATGGATTTGCGAAACCATAATAATATTATCATTTATAAAACATGGTTTGGTCGCAAAAATCTGAAAGGCCCTTTTCTTTTTTTAGATTGAATTGCTCGAGTGCTTGAATTGTTTAATAAATGTGTTGAAATATAATATTACAATTTGACACTAAGTTGATTTAGTCAGCTTTTCCTTATTACAATTCACAACAGCCTACAAATTGTTCAAAATTTTCAGTTCAAAATTTTCAAAAAGTAAAGGAGACTTTTATTAAAATAAAAATAAGTTTTTGAAATTTTTGTTTCATTTTGTTCTGGTTTGATTTTAATGAGCTCACAATAATTTCAAATAATTAATTTATAAACAATTAATAAATAATGAAAATTTTCTGAAAATATTTTCGAAATTGCATAAAAACCGAAATAAAACATTTGCCAATTAGCTTTGATTAAATTTTTATTCTATGCAACATGTTTTTAATTTAGGAAAATTTAATCCTAAACGTATGCAATTTTACTAGTTGAGTTGTGCCTTTTAATCATGGAAAGTTCTACACATAATTGGTAAACTCAAAAGGACTTATTGCAATATTTGAAATTCAATTAACCAATCAGAAAGAAAATTTAAAAATTCTTAAATAACATTTGATTTTCTTTGACAATTTAAAAAAAAAAAAAACTTTTATTGCTCTCAAAACATATTTAGATTCTATTATATACGATATAAGTAATCTAGATTAAGAACATTGCTTATTTTAAAATATTAACTGAAAACTATATAGAATTCTAGTACATATGTATTCAAAGAAATAATTATTTATGCTAAAAGAATATCTTGTACAATACAAACTCACAATAATTAGTGAATGAAAATAATGAATGAAAAAAACAACAAGAACTGTATAAAATTAAAATAATTATAAAGAAACATAAAAAATATTATTTACGTTTGGTATACAACTACTAATACAAAACAGCTAATTATTTCCGTTCATGTGTACACAATAATGTCAAAAAACAGTCAAGAACAGTGTTTTCTTTTCAGTTTTTTCACTTTGATTTTCCTCGTTAATATATAGTAAATAAAGAACTTCATTTTTATAAAGAGTACACACTTATATGTATACATATATATAAAAGAGTATATTATAACAGTGTAGCCATATAATATAGTACAAATGCATATTTACAATTGTAATGCACTCAAATTATCCTTTGTCCCTGAAATACAAAAGCAATACAAATAATCAAGGAGTAAAAGAAGGACCAGTAAAAGAAAATAAAAAAAGGAAAATATATATACATATATATATAAAAGGATCAGTTGGGAAAAATAATATAAAAATGTCACTTTTATGTCTGAAGATAAACATAGTAAAAATATCATGAGATCGGAAGAGTTGTTTTGAAAATACAGTTTTGTGTAATAAAAGGAGTGTTTTTCTTTTTTTGAGATTCTCTGCTTTATTTGGAATTTAAAATTCTATAGATTCTATTTTATTTTAAACTTATTATTTAATTTTTGTTGTATAACCAACATTCTTTTGCATTTGTAAGTTTAATAATGGTCCTAAAAAATCAAACTACACCAATGTATGGACAAGGTGCGGTAGTATTAATCACACCTTATGGTAGGAGAGACGATAATCAAAATAATTGGTTACCAACATTCTACAAAAGTAATGAATTTGGAATACTCAACGAGACTAATGTAAGGGAAATGTGTCCTCAGTATTGATACGCTTACAATATTTATACGATTTGTGAAATAATATTAAGGGGTGTTCATGAAATGATATTTGCTATTTGAATTCTTCAAGACAATATTGCAATATACGGTAAAACTATACTGTTGCTGAATTTTTTAATTTATTTTAAAAGTTTTTAACGCAAGTATCCTACAGTTGACTAGTACAACATTTAAAATTTTCTTTGTTGTCTTTTAAATACACTTTTCCTTATTCAAAATAACAAAATGAAAATCAGTGGAATTTTAAATTTTATTTAAACAAGTTTTAAGAAAACAAAAAAAAAACATAAAATAATTTTTAATTCAGTTGTAAGCGTTTTACTCTTCTCTTATAAAAGTATGGTAATTTTTTTTTAATGTGTGTACTAAAGTTTATAAATAAGTATGTACTAAAATGTACTAAATCTATTGTAATACATGAAAACGTTTTGTATACTTAAAAATTTACTAAGCGTATTAAAAAAATTTTTTTTTTTTCAATTTTTCTCTAAAATTGTCCATTATAAATCACAAAGAATTGAACTTTTTCTTTATATAAGATTTGAGCTACTTAAAATTCACATTGAGAATTAAACCAAAAAAAAACCAAAAAAGGTAAAATAACGGAAAAGAAAATGCAGGAGAAATTCCAAGAATAAGTAAACTTTAAAATTTTATTTTAAATGCAAATGTCTAGACAAGTTTACAATATAAATTATTTTAAGGAGACTTTTTTGTAGTTGTTTATTTAAATTTTCCATAATATTTTTTTTCTCAATTTTTTTCATACAAACGGACCTTTTGTAATAAAATGGTTGATGTTTTGTATAGAAATTTTACTGAAATTTAAATAATATTTTTGAATTTTAAACTCAAAATTTTCAAAGATAATTTGATTTCATTAAAACGGTTTGAATTAAATAGGAAATAAAATAACGCTGATAAAAAATAACTGGCATATGAATTTCAAGTATGGATCACGCGAATAACATTTGAGAACTTCAAGATTTCAAAGGAAATTCTAGCAGTGAATATAGGGAAAACTATGTAAACGAAGTCAAGAAATTCATTATTATTTTGTTTAATTTGAACTAAATTGCATTTAGCTTACTTGTTTTACATAATTTACATAATAATTTTCGTCTACTTTCTGTGTTTTCTAGATTTTTTTGAACGACATTCATATACAAACCAATTATGCAAAAGATAATTACAGTATACCATTTAACTTGTTATTGAAATATCAAAATTCTAATTAAGTGAGATAAAATCCAATTATATATCATCAATCTACCTATATAAGCAGTTTCAGGACCAAGTAAAATTGTAGTTCTATAAGTATGTCTTTAAATAAAATAAGATTTACACGCACATATTTCTAATTTATGTTCTCACTTTTGTACATGCATGAAGAAAGAGCTGATTGATAACACTTTGAAAATATTGAAACAATTTTACTACCGACAAAATAGTCGTAATATTACAGGTTATATTTTTATTCAAATACATATACTTCTTGTCAAGGTTCAACTGTATAATTACCATAAAATTTTTTATATTATTTTTTGAAAACTAGTTTTAAAATTAAAGTAGCACACCTTCTTATACATTAATTTTATTTGAATTTCTATTTTCAAAACAAATTCCAATATACCGAAATAAATTGTTTATATAAGCTTATATTAATTAATATTTTCTAATGTATACATATAATATTGTATATACTTATGAATGTGTAATTTTGTAGTGTAATTTTTTCTTTCTATTCAAACACTAAAAATTTAAAAGTAAAAAAATATGAAATGTTCTCTTTTCAGTTTACTTTTAATTTTCCGAATACTTTTGTATTTAATAAATAGGTATAGGTAACGTAGGTACTCTGTATACATAGATAGTTTCTATAAATTGGTTTTTGAATAGCATATAATTACTTGCTCTTCTATTAAAAAAATAGCATTTAAAAGTAAAGTTCACAATGTGTTGCAATTTTGTTGTTTTGTAAAATATGAAATGAGAAATGAGAAAATGAAGGTTCATCATATACAGGAGTAGAAAATTAAAATTTAATAATATTGTACATATAGGCACTACTTAGTGTATGTATATTCAGTAAAGGCTCTATTTAAAAAAAAATTTTTTTTTGAAGGTCTATGAATTTTACATAATATTTACATTATATGAAGATTTCATTTCTATTTGCGATTATAAATAAAAATCGCTAAATATAAAATGATGATGGTCTTATGATTAACATACAAATAAATAATACACATATATAATATATATGTATATGTATGAACTTATTATTATTTGAAATTCAAGAAGATTTCCCCATTATTTCAATGACTTTTAAGTTTTTTCAACTAAATATACACAAAGATGTCATACATGCACTTGAAGTTTAAGATTATTATGCATGTATATTTGCTTATTACCATTATTTTTATTATTGTTATTGCATGTTGTTGTTTTTAAGGATCTACATGTATATATAATATAAAAATGATGAAAAACATGTCTCATGTCTCATGATATAGAAAGAGATAAAAAAAAAAATTTGTATTTCTTTTGTTTTCTTTGGTTTTTTTTTCGTATTTTGATGCCCTTGTATTATAAATGGTAGCCGTCATCACGATTATTTTTAAAGATGGTAAAAATGTTGTACATGCTCTTCATTTATGACTAATTTTAATCATTATTTCTTTTTTTTTATTTTGTTTTTATCATCTTTTTACCATCATTATATTTTAATAGCGCAGTTAAGCATTGGTACAACTCTCTCGTTGGTAGTATATGGGTATATTGTAACACGAATCGTTTAGTTATTATTTATATGTATGTATATGCATTGTAGTAAGTTTATTGTCTGAGACTGTCTGATAAAGAAGATAATTA